CACTTTGTAGGTAACTTGTGACAATCTTTATGGACTCGCATGAGAAGGATAACAACTTGTATAAGAACATAAGGTAAATTATATTATGTTACAAAATGGATGTAGCAAAATTATAATGAAAGTGCTGATACCATGTGACTATTGTGAAAATATAACGTAATTTTAATAATAAAACGATAGAGGGGGCTTCCATATCGGAAAACACTCCAACCCTTAAACTTGGCCGTTTTAGTTTCGTGTTAATAACTTCAAACTACACTGTTACACCGCGTAATAGATTACATTATTTCAATAAATAGTGACACGTGAGCAAGTATGGAATTTAATTTGTGTAGTCTTCAGATTCTACTCGAATGAATTGTAATTTCATTATAATTCATTGTGGTAAATTTTATTAAAATTGCCTACATAAAACCTCATAATGAGTGGTTATGCGGTGTAACGTTGTCGTATGCGATTAGGTTTTTAAATTTTTAACTTTGTGTCAAATTAAAATCATTAGAACTCGAATTACGTCAATAAACTATATTGTATGCACCGTGCACCGCAGAAAATTAGACATCCCAGTGCTGTACAGTGTACTTACACTAAAGAAAAAGGGGTGAAGTTCTTACACAAGTACCTACCTACAATTTACAAAATTTGATACTTTTTAAATTTTAGTTCCAACGATTTAAATTAGGTAATATTATGGAAGTTCGTCAACATAATATGAAATTTGTGTTCAACATTTCCAATTTTGTGTAAAAGTAATAATAACCTTTAGAGATAACTATTGGTAATCCAGGTAAGAACATTATCTGTGCATTCTCCTGGGCTTTAAACAAAACGTATTTTAATTTGAATGTACATTTTAAATATCTACGTAAAAATATATTTGGTAATTTTCAAAAATTCTCAATCTCATCGCTTAATTAAATCAATAATTTAACTAAGTGTTTTTATTGAATATCAATTTTTTTAACTACCCAATTTCTTGAATTCTTAACAATAAATCGAAAAAAATGAATAATACTTTTACATCATTGTATTGGCCTTTGGCCTAATGCCCTAATGGCACTAGCTAAATAATTGACAAAGCGTCAAAACAATTATGATTTAAGTCCTCTTCTTGTGAATTATTGGCAAAGCTAGTGCGAGATAACAATATATGAGCTAAATAATCTGATCATTTTTTAACACCTAATGCTCATTCAATAGCTAATAATTATTATATAACACGTTGTGGGTGGGACGCGTGGTCACGTAGGAATTGCGGTTGTGTTACCTAGTCAAACATTTTTGTCAATCATTTAGGTAGTTTGTACAAACATTTGATTATGTAATACCAGTATACCCCTAATATACATATACTTTATCCAAACTCAACTTGCAGGTATACGGAAAATGTGTTTTGGAGTTTTCACAAAGTTGAGTCTTAGCAATCTCATTGAACACAAACGTCAGCGTAAAGTTGTAAGTATTTTTTTTCCCGTTTTACATTATGGTTTGCGAGTTTTTAATTATCAACCGAAAACATGGTAAAAATTATTATAACTGTTTTAATTTTTTTAATTGTGAATTTGTTGTGTACCATAATTTCGGTTCAGTGCCCTCAGCACCGGATAATTTCATTACAGCTAATCCGACGTGCGTGGCGTTATTTATTTATTTTTAAATTGTTGACGTTCTAAAAGTTTTTAAATTTTAGACAATAATATAACATTAATTTTATTACGATTCTGATGGAATTAAATAAAAAAGACTTGAATGGTTATACAATTATTAATTATCTATAGTCTAGGCGGGGAAGGAAGGCAAATATATTAATGCATTAACAAAATTTTAAATTGTGGTCAAATTGTATAAACACACTTGGTTCATGATTGCCCCCTCTACGAAATTTTATAGTCACGCTCTATTGTCTATACATATAATATTATATTATTATCTATTTATGACATTCTGATCCAGCTTATATATGTGCCTCAAAAGTAAATCTTTTTTTTTTTTGACGTTGAGCTCTATTATAATATTATAATATTTTTGATTTGTTCGATAGTAGAATGTGGAAAATCATTCTCACAAAATCTAATCGACGTCAGCCCGCACTTACTTTAACTTTTAAATAAACCACTCTGACCATATAGCGAAGAGTTCAACCTTTTGCATCCAGGGGGAGGGGGGCTAGGGGTAGTTGACAAATCCTGGGTACTGTTTCCATCAATCCAAACAATGTTTATCGAGACTTCCATAATTTTACGAAAACGGTTTATGTCATACTTTATACCTACACAGCTAGCACTCACCACCACCGCAATGCCATTCGGAAGAACCTATATACCGCAAACTTTGACAGTCGCAGGTCTATTGTAGAAGTAATATAGGTACAGGTGGTATTGACTGTGGTGACGTCTAAATAGGCGTAAAACGTATATACGCGCAAGCGTATCGACTTACGAAATCAGTCCTAATGCGAACGGATAGAATTTTTCATTTAGGATCATATTTTGTACTTTAGCCACGGACGCTCTATATCCCGGGTCGTATAGCCGAGGCGGTATAAGCTTCCACGGCCCTCCGTTAAACGCCGACGAGTGGGCGCTGACTGGAGGGTGGTGAACGATGGTCATCAAGCGGCCATAGCAAATAGGCCAGATTTGTGAAAACTACGATTCGACTGCGGATAACACTCGGCGGAAAACGATTCTTGTTATATATATATATATAGACTTCTCGGAAACGTTCACGTCCGAGAAGAAAAATATATAGTACCTACTTACTACGCTGCAGCCGAGTCGTTTCGAAACTGTCATTTTATTTTATTCGCGACGTATAGGTCGTCTATACTGCGTCTGTAATACAGAGGGATAATAAGCTTGTCCAGACGACAGCTGTAACGAGCACGATGTAGGTGGCGGCGGTGGTCCCTGTAGACTGACTATAATACTGCTGCAGACGGAGTTCTTACGACCGAAAAACTGCACTGGGGATGAACAAATATACACCGGAAATAGGAAATGATGATGCCTACAGTGCAGATCAAGCGGTAATTTCCCTGTTTCCATCATGGACATAATATAATTTTTTTCAAACCGTTAGATACTTATATTATAATAAGAGGAGATAATGCAGATTGTGTAATTTTTCGTACTAATGCATTCCATTTACTATATAATAATATTGGTGACTAAAATATGTTCAATTCAAAATTTCAAGGCGTGGGGTGCCTGATAAGTGACATCATATAATTATTGGTGTTTATATGGAAGGGGGGGGGGGCTAGGCCTCTGCCCATAGTGAAATTTCGCTTAAAACTATATATATATTATATATCTATATTCTATATACGACTATACGGCTATAGTGCTATACCTATATAATCGCTATGAATCAAGTGTATAGGTCTATACTTAAAACTATAAAATTTCATATGTATGACGTATTATTTGTCACAGTTATAAAAAAATGGTCCCTTAAAAAATGCAGTTATTGGCCCATAGCGAAAACAATTCTTAACAGTGTACACCACTGCTCATATAATGTGTAAGTACATTGATTTGACGAGTACGATCTATACTGAGTATATACATAATGATCCAACAAGTATGCTCACCCCCCTTTTTTTCTTTAATAATGAAGTTTTTTAAAATCTGATTTTTGAAATCTTTAAATATACTCAAAGACCATATTTTCATATTCATGAGATTTTTTATGCCACTTAAGGAGTGTCCCGTGGCGATACGAACCTTTGTTTTTTCAAATGAGAACCCCACTTTTTTTCTTTACATTATTTAGCTGATAATTTTTTCGAAATCAAAGTTCGAAAGAGTGGTTTCCTAGTTATTGGACAATTTGTACTAAGGATAATAGTCCATGATAGGGATACTCTTTTACAGTTCTACACATGGAATAAGAAAAATAACTAAATAAATCAAGAAGGTTTTTACTTGCTATTTGATTAAATAAATATAAAATGACGTATTATTTTATATAATGTGTATGGACTCTAGATAACAACGTATACGGTATAAGCATATCCTTCTTCCCTATTATAAACTATACATTATCCTAAGTGCAATATGTGTAATAAGTAATAACTAAAAAACTACTCGTTCAAATTTTTTATTTCAATACAAAAAAATTATCCGCTTAATAATTTACAGTAAAAAAGTGAGGTTCCCATTTGAAAAACAAAAGTTTGTATCGCCACTGGACACTCCTTAAGTGGTACAAACAATCTCAAGAGTATAAAAATATGGTCTGAGTATATTTAAAGATTCCAAAAATCAGATATTGAACAACTCCATTATTAAAGAAAAAGGGGGGTGAGCATACTTGTTGGATCACCCTGTATACACTACATATATACTTTATCTATATTGAGTTAGTATACTAATATGGTATAGAAACTGCGGTAATCTTTATTTTAGTATTTAATTTTCAGTCAGTGTTGTATATTGTGAGTGATTTTAAATCGTTACTCCAATAACCTCTCGATAATCAATCAGCCGATTAGACCAATTTTGATTTTATGCAATCAGACAATCAAGAGTGGATATAAACACACCTATAAAGTATAATATTCAATTAACACGGTAATCCTCTTTCAACAATTTTTAGACCAGAAAAATCATTTTGTCGGAGCTCTACATTTGCTAGCAATAAAAAAAAAATCAAATGTTTTTAGTAGTATACAGTTCTCTAAATAATCTATTTGCGTATTTGATTATAATTTATAATATTTATTACAGTCAATGGTCAGTCTAGAAACGGTGATGTTTATATATAAACGAGTTTTTTTCAATGAGGTTGTTTTTGTTTTTCAGTTTATCGACCTGTTTAGTATACATTATAAAATTTTTTAAAGTTACACTGTATTACACTATTACGATTACCTATATACATCTTACTTCATGCTCGTATTGAACATTAAGAAAGATGTACCACAGTCCATAGACCATAAACCATGTTAAAGAAGCCCTTTCGAAAATAAGAAAGGAAAAAATGCTACAAATAAATGTATAATGATTGTTGATTTATTTTTTATCAAAATATAAAATGTTTATAAGTCCATTGTATGCACCCTTCATTTTTTTGGATAAAGTTCGTTTTCAGAATTCATCTGCTTTGAACGGTTATCATTATCGGGCTTGTCACCGGTTCCCTGGTATGCATGTGGTCTCCCCGGACCAGTTTTAGGGTGATCTTTATTACATTGATTTGTTTTATTTCTATCTTCAGCTGTTTGGCGATCCATCTCTGAAACAGTTGAAAACCACTATTTGTAAATTGTAATAATATAGATATTATATTAGAACTATTAAATTATTTTATTGTCAATTGAAAAAGGATAAAAAATTAAAATCCATTACACTATATTTCTATTATTATGACTTGATAAAATTAAAGTTAATTTCATATAGTAAGCTGTATATGTATGTACCACATATGGAATTAGATAAATGTAAATATGTGAATATACTATTAATAATAAAATTAGCAATATGACATATTTTCGAACCACAAAAACATTGAAATTATTTTATTCTTTTCGGTGTAAGTAAGATAAAATAAAATATAAATTATTTAAAAGTATAATAATTTAAAGACTGTATATTAAGTCATAAAAATCATAATTTTTTATGTCGAGTACCACGCATAATAGTAGAAAACTGAAAAGTATGAGAAAAATATGTTCTATCATGCACAGAATATACAAATCTAAAATGTTTTTAAAAATAGAAATATTTTTTCCTTTAATTATGAATTTATTCGAATTCTGATTTTTGAAACTTTCAAATAATATACTCAACTCTCATTCTTTCGAATTCCTGGAGTTTTTTCAGTTTTTTGTGCTATTTTATGAGACTGTTTTCACTTGAGAAAAAAATATATCCTACATCTAAACCAACCAACAGAATACACTTCATGTGCAATTTACTGTTAAGCTTAACAATATGGTGACTGAACTCAGATACAAAATAATATCTAATCTCCTTTAACTCCTTTCTATATACAAGTAAATAAGTATATTGGTTTGTAAAATACCATAAGAAATCATAATAGATTCTATCGAAGCATAAGATCATTAAAAAAATAAAAATCCAAAACAGTTATTAACGCCGCGTTCACATTATCATGTTGGCCATGAACAATAAAAAACTAAATTAAAATCAATTTAATAATATATAGGTACCTACATAATTAATATAAAAACAACTATGAACTGTACACAATATAAACTGTTACCAAACTAAGAAAAAAGTGTTGCAATAACTTACTTATGGAAATGATTGGAAGTCACGTTGAATTTCAACAAGAGTGGAGACGACAACGATGATCGATCGGACTCGGAAACATTGACGACTAACAACATCCCTGCACTCGTATTTATTCCAAAATTATTTACTCCCTCCTAAAATTAAAAATGTGTTAACTCGGAATGAATACCATTTCTATAGGTAATCTTTATTTGTGCATATTATTTTTATTTCGTATGCTATGAACCACACCCATCACGATGAACAATAGCTCGTCGGTGTTTCAATTGCAATGAATAGTCCTAAACATGACCATACGCTTCCATAAGACCTAGTACCCATAGTATGTGGGTATGAACTCCGTAAGTCATCTTACGCTCTTTGAAAGGCCATAATTTCTAGTATGTTTTGTTGAAATAAGATATTTTTAATTGTAATTTTTTCTATATTTCGTGCAAATTAATATTTATTAAACCCTCTTTAGTCATGGTTGTTTTTTAATACTATTTTCAGAAATATATTACTTAAGCCTATCCCAAGTTTGATGGCAGTACGCTTAGTATTATATTGATCCATACAAGAACTAAAAACGTATTCTTTTTAGGACGTTTTCAGAAGCGGATTTATGATTAAACAATTACGCAGCAGCTGTCACGTCAGTTGGTACATAAACCCACGTGTAACGCAATAGGAATTCATGTTTTTTTTTTACGTTTTTCGAAAAACATGCAATTTCATGTTTAACCATGCATCATTATAAATTGTATACCTCATAATAATCCAGCATTCATACCTATACATTGTGTTAACCGCGTTCGCGGAAACAGGGAACACTTTAAACTCATGTAGCCTAAACATATTTTTGAATTATGCGAGTGGGACTATGGACTGCTGAATAAACAATGACTTTGGCTTACAATTTTTTTTAACTCGAGTGTTTTGAGCGTGCGCAACACAACCTAACTTTTTTAAAGGGCACCCACATCTTGAATACCATGCAATTTAAAGTTTTTATATAATATTTAAACGACCAATTACATACGATGAATTGCCTGTGCCCGATAGAAACGACTGCAGTTATTCAACTGAAAGTGGTTAATTGTTATTAAATTCTGTTGACACTGATGATACTTGTACAGCGGATCACGCCGATTTTTCCGTTTCCGCGGACATGATATTTTCCACGACAATGTGAATACCTACCTAGGTATACGCCGGCAATATCCAAGCTTACAACAAATACCATACGCAAATATGGCTGCCGGCGTTCGCTTCTTTTCTATTGGACTAAATATAGTTAAGATCGCGGACTAAGATTATACGTCCGGATCAACGTACACCTTAATTCTTAGTCCGCGGAAATATATGCGATAACGTGATAGTGTGTTACTGATACAGTAAAAATAAAACGACGTACCTACCCCGTTTCGTGCATATAACAGAGTCAACGACATATCTATTTATACCTATTTATTCTGTCATGATATTTCCTTAAAAAGTTCCAATACGCGCATAAGCAGAGGGCGATCTCGAGTAATTTGTATACATTTGTTTTGTGCACAAATGCGAAAAGTCGCGTGGGGCCAAGTATATAAGTGACTTCATTATACCTGCGGACTGCAGTGGTGCATAAATGAGACGGGACACCTGCAGTAGGCCATGGCCTTTAGTGAAATGTCAGGCTCACTTAAAACCATGTATAGGAACCTATAGTACCTACATAGAATATTGTAATCGTAACGAACCAGACCTATAGGTCCGTGCTAAATACATATCGTGTCATAATAGTTTCATTACTCTGAGGTCACAATAATGCATATTATATTACCTATACATGCCATTATTGTACAATGTCTGGTGCCTCGTAAAAAATGCTATTGGCCCATATCAATTCCTATACGTACACCACTGGGTAGGTATATTTATGGTACACAGATTTATCGAGTACGTCTTAATGATATTGTGTAGAATCTGTGGTGATCTTATTTTAGTATTTCATCTTCAGTCGGTGTGACGGTGTTATGATACATTGTTCGCGATTTTTTGCTCGAAATCATCGACAAGCCGCGGATTGATCTGTCCACGATTCCATGCGATCAGAGCGGAAAACAATCTATATCTATACCTTTTCTATGTAATTATTCTTCTAATATAAATCACGAATATTCAATGGAATAAAATCGATTAAGCTAAATACACAATGTTTTTACTTGGGATAGTCCATCGCAGAAAGTACCATATGGGCAGGTACACATACGTCGCTAAATTAAAACATGTAGGTACCTACCTATATTAATAATATTATCTGGAAAAATATAAAATTTAATATATTTATAAATTTTAATTGCATAATATATAATTAAAGATACAAACTCGTATACAGTTCCTATATAATATATAATATGCATTGATATATTTTCAATTTAGTTTTACCCTTGATTATAAATTAAATTCATAATTAATGGTTTTATAATTTATTTTCCGTAACCTGGGGTATGATTTTTTTTTTTTGAGGATTTTAATTATTATTTGTATCGAACCCTGCAGAGTTACGTAATTCCGTGTATTTTGTAATCCGCAATGACGTCCGTACTGCTCGATGCGATGATGACTTCAACGAAGACACAGTTGGTGGTATGCAACACATAATAATAACATAAAATTATCATTATTATTATTATTATTCTTTTTTAATATTTACCTTGCCGACGAAATGTATCGATCTCATTCATTCAATTCCCATTCGTCGTACCGAATTACTAAATTGTAATATAATAATAATATTATTTTAATAATATAAACTCGTATATAATAACATATATAAAGACTGAATTGCAGAGAGCTATACAGTTAATGGTATTACGGACGTATTGAAGTAAGCTCTATAAATGTATATTATGCTGTGTATACGAACCTCATCTTTGTATATACTTAACAAGAATATTATGTACCTACGCATTATTAAATTACGGACGCTTAATACGTCGCTTTCTAGTTTCTGAACGCGAACCCCATGCCGCCCACTACACCGAAAAAATCTCAATGCAATTTGGTTTTTTTAATGTCAAAGAGCCTTTTTTTTTCTCTCCAGATTATATGACGCAGATACTTGCGCGACGGGTAGTGCGGGCGGTACTACTCAAAGCCGCAAAAGCTGTACAGTGAACACATAACGCACACACACACGTAAAGACAATCGTATTAATCTACAATAACGTAAGTGACTGCGGCTATGTACACATACATGTATATATATATATATATATTATGTGGTTATGTAAACATAACCTGTTTACAAACTAAAAAACACAATACCATAGATAAAGGAATAAGATAGATGCCCGACACGAAACAAATTTTGGTCTGCTTATACGTGGCTCTCGCTCCGATGACAATTTGTTCGTTACTATATTATATGCTTACTGATTCCACGATAACCTCTTATTGTCTTTAAGTTCCTTTATCTATGCATAATATTCTATTGTACAGTAACACTGTCTACAGCTCGTTTCCGCCGCCCTGGCACAGACTCACTGGTCGCTGGTGATATTATTGTTATAATGTCGTACACTCGTACCTACGTTATTTCATAATATATAATATTCCCGGCATTTCCCGGCCAAATCAATGTCGTGCCGATGTGGTCCAGGTTCAGTTCGGCTTTTTTTTTTCAAGAGAGTGATATGAATTTTCGACTTTTCTCAGACCGCGTTGTACAGCAGTAAATATATACTCTCATTGTTCTACCGTACATTTTATATTACAAAAATAAGCCAAGCGAGGCGAGGGGTAGAGGTATGACACTCTCATCACTGCCCCCGATGTGGTCGTGTTCGCCGTTGAAATTCGCTCTTTTCATCAATATTGTGTTAGGCGGACGTTTGATAAACTTCACAAAAAAAAAAGTATTTTCCGAATTTGGACGTTCCAACCAATTAGTGTCCAAAAAAATGTAGCCCTCCTACTTGACTAATAAGTATATTCAACGTTAAAAAATATTTTGTTATGGCCTAATTTATTGTTCCATACTTCCCATAACTACGGCACATAAATAACCATAACCCCTTTTCAACATTTCTTTATTTTTTAAATAAATTATAATTTGTTTATTGTTAATTACTAAATACTATTAAGTGCCTATTAGGTCTATAAATATTTGGAAAACAATTTTATAATTTAGTTATATACTAGTTATCTATGCTATACTTACCTATTAATTATTATCAAATCAACATTGAACATATAATATAAATACATATTATGGGGAACTATCCTTAAACGTCCTGAATACTTTCTGAAAATATTTGAAAAATATATATTATACTTCGTACAAAATACTTTTTTGAGGTGTGGGATATAGTTATCATGTATTAACATAACTAAATACTATTTGAAATGTAGGTATGATATAGGTGAATTTTTTATTATATAATTTATAATTATTTACCATAATAATTAATAATAAATTATACAAGCCATAAGTCATAAACTAATAGTTAACGAATAACAAGTAACGATACTTTAGAGAGTAGAAATATTATTCTGACATAATATAATATACATATTATTACATTATAACTTAATATCTGTATTCTGTATAACATATACTTTTTTTTAGTGTCAGATGGGACACATTTTGTGTTGTATAAAAAAGTAATGTGCAGTTGACACTGGTAGGCACTTTGTGAAATACGCCAAAAAAAAAAAATTGTTATTATATTAATATAAATGGACTTTTCGTTACTCTACATAAATCAAAGTTGTTTATCCCTTATGCGTAGGTTTCAACTTAAAAAAAAATTATTTTATAAAATTATTAAAATTTAAAGTTGCAATGAAAACTATAGGTATTGAAGAAGAAATACTTATCTTCTATACTCGCTTTCATATATGACACTTCCGTAGTTCCGTTATTTTCCTAACCACCATAATAATTAATTATCTTATCACTGCCAGGAAATCCTCGACGAGGACTAAAAAGGAAGAGGTGTCGTGACTTTTTTCTTAACTAATTATGTCAACTTTATGACAGAAACAAATTTAAAAATGTACAGTAATAATTTACATTTTTACTTAAAAAAAAGTTAAACTTGTCGCTACAGGGTAATGGTTCTTTAAACAAATCTTTCATGTCTGTACTGTTTTATTGTACGCGTATTTATTGATAAATAAATGAAAAAAATTAATT